GCAAGGCTTCATCAGCACTGCTGGACCAAACCAGGTTGAGCTTTACTCTCCATGGACTGCACACAGCATTCATGTCCTGGCCTGGTGAAGGAGAGAACTTTCTGAAGTAGCAAACCGTGGAGAATTTTAGGAGGATGGGAAAGCCTGGGGATATTTTACAGCTTTGTACCAGGTGTGTTGTGGGTGCCTTAGCTGGTCCAGCTCCAATGGGCACTCATTGTGGAAGTGGAAAAGTGTTTTCTCTGAGTGTGGAGAAGCTCATATGCCCTTGATGGCTGGGTTACTCAGAACTCAGCATGTGGACATGTATTTACTGACCAAGGTGTATTTCTTCAAAAGCTTTGCTAATCAGAAACAGGGAAAGCACAACTGTTTGAGAGGAGTTACTAGATGCTCTAGAGCTTAAGCTACATTTTGGTTTGCTTTCCTAGAAGCTGTGTGTAGCTTTTACCATTGTTTTTATTCTTTTATCTATTATGCATGCATGTACATCTTTTTACAGATGTACATGCATGCTTTATACATGCATCTATATTCTTCTTATATAATTTTTAGCTTATTTTTATATTTTTCTGATGTGTTTTTGCTATTCCTTGTCAGTTTATTACACACCTCCCAGAGTCCTCTCTAAAGTTTTCAACAGGCTTTAATCAGTTTGCCAAGTGCATTGGTGAGGCTCCCCTGCCTCACTGCTGCTGCAGTGTGTCAGCTCCTGTGCTCACTAGGGTGACTCAGCCCTTGGCTGATTTTTAAGCAATTATTGCTACTTCTGTGATTTCCCAACACCCCTGCTCTTTCTCTCCCACTGTAACACCTCCCTGTCATGTCAGAGCTGATCCCTTCCTCCTGTCATCTCTGGTACACAATACTCTCACTGGTGCCAAAACTTCTGACTTTCCTCTCTTACCCTTGGAGTTTATCTCAATAGCACAAGCTGTCTCCCTCCTTGCATCTTTGCCCTGTGTTTGTCCTTTCATATCACTGAAAACCTCTGGAAAAATCCACTTTAAAAATTCACTACTTTCTTTTCCGTCTCCAAAACTTCAGAAGAGTTTTTAGGCTCTGACTTGCAGGTCAGAGGCCCTGTCTGGCTGCTGAAAGCCTCTTGGATCTCCAACAATGTGCTCTGCTCTCTCCCTCTCTCACTTATTGTTCCTTCCTCCATCTTTCTTATATGGCTCTATATTTCTTCCTCCTTCTTCTAAGCTGCTGCACCGGTTAGACTTTCTAACTCCTTGCCCTGGCTCCTTCTTGTTCTCATTTCTCCTCTTTCTTGAGAAAACTGAACATATAATAGTTTCTGGTTTGCTATAAAATCACTCCTTGGACTTGACCTTTCTATTCAAATGTCACCTCATCTCTCAGTTGATCTGTGCACAGCTGGGGACATCACTTTTGTGCCTTCTTTCCTCATCCTCTCCTTTCTCCAGCCCCATGGCATCTCTTTTTATCCTGGTTTTCAGCTGTCATTCAGTGCTTGATAGCCTTCCACCCCATCCTCTCTGACCACCTTTACCAGTCAATCATCCTCTAAATTTCTTCCCTCCTGGCTGTGTTCCTCTGACCCTGGTTTTTCCTGCACACTTCTGGAGTGTAAGCATGGGGTCTTTCTGTCTCTCACTTTCCCTTTTCTGCTCTCCTCCTTTTCCCAGGTCAAGTTGTTAATCTGTGAAGTCTCGCTTGCCATTGATGCTAATTGCTTGTCAGGTGATGATTTTACTGTCACATCTCTTTTCTTGTTCCTTCTTTTTGGAGACAGAAAGTTGTCAATAGGAGTCATGCTAAAGTTGAGCTGTTTAGGTCTGATATCTTCTGTGTCTTGGCAACTGGGTTTTTTTGGCTTCTCAACAGCTCAGTGGCTTGAACAGAACTATGTTCATACAGCATTTTAAATGGTGTCTCCATCCTGTGGGTAATTTCCAGTCACTGACAGCTCCAAACAAAACATTTGTGATTTCACAGAATCACAGAATTGTTTGGTTGGAAGGAACCTTAGAGATCATCTCCTTTCAACCCCCACCATGGTTAGGGGCCCCTTCCAGGAGAGCACATTGCTCAGAGCTCCATCCAACCTGGTCTTGAACACTTCCAGGGGTGGGTCATCCACAGCTTCTCTGGGCAACCTCTGCCAGTGCCTGCCTTCCCTCATGGTGAAGAATTTTCTTCTAATATCCAATCTAACCCTGCCCTCTGTAAGTTTGAAGTAATTTCTCCTTGTCCTGTCACTCCATGCCTTTGTCAAAAGTCCCTCTGCAGCCTTCCTGCAGCCCATTCAGTTACTGGCAGGCTGCAGTCCGGTGTCCCTGGAGCCTTCTCTTCCCCAGGCTGAACAACCCCAGCTCTCACACCCTGTCTTTGTAGGAGAGGTGCTCCAGCATGCCGCATTTAATGCAAATTTGAATTTAATATTTTTATTTTCTTCCTTTTTGCCAAGCTGAAGACAATCAGCTTTCTCTTGTTGTACTCAAAGGACAGAGTCAGCGCTGATACCTAGCAGGAGAGCTGCTGTAAAAATATAATAACCCAGACTTATTGTGTTATGTACCTAAATGTTATTATTTGATCATGATGTGTATTCCATTTCTGCCTCATGTTTCCTTCCTTTGCTGAGACAGTGCTGCCTGTGTCTCTGCTCTGCCAAGCCTGTCCCTCTGGGTGCTGCAGCACGGTGAGATGCTGGGTCCAGGCTCTGTCCCCAGCTGTCCCAGCCTTGGTGGGACAGAGAGTGACAGGGATTGCAGGCACGGTTTTAATATAGGAATGTGTTTTTTGTTGACGGAGTGACAAAACTATTTTTTGTTTCTTTAAAAAGGAAAAAAGCCCAGAAGTTCCTTTTTGAAATTAGGTAAAAAGACATCTCATAGGACCTTGGGGACTTCACCTCAAATTTAAGGATAGCCAATTGCACAGGAGCCAGAGTCCTGACTAAGCAATTTAATAGAAAAAGAAGACAACAAAGAAACAAATTGTTTTTGTGAGGTATTTTACCAAGAGCAAGAGCCTCTTGCACCTGGCTCAGTTTTTCTCTGTAAAGAATTTTGTTATTTTGCCTTTTATTAAAACTTTTCTGTTTCCAACACTACCACAGAAGCCATCCTGCTGATTTTATGCCTTCTAAGGTAGCTGAGCTATCTTAAGTATGACATAGATCTCCAAGAGCTTATAAGACCTAACTCAAAGAGACCATATATCATTTTAATACCTTCTCTTAAACACATATGTATGTAAAGAAGAAAAACATATATTAATGAAAATACATAGTGTAACCTTGCTGCCAGCAGGGCTAATGGCATCCTGGGGTGTATTGGGAAGAGTGTGACCAGCAGGTCCATAGAGAAAATCCTGTCCCTCTACCCGGCCCTAATAAGGCCCCACTCTGGGCTCCTCAGGACAGGAGACAAGGAGCTGCTGGAGATGGCCCAGCAGAGGTTACAAAGATGATTGAGGATCTGGAGCATCTCTTGTGAGGAGAGACTGTGGGAGCTGAAGTTGTTTAATTTGGAGAAGAGAAGGATTAGAGGGAGCCTCATAAATACAGACAAGTATCTCTGTGCCAAGAGGAGGGGGCCGGTCTCTTTCCAATGGTTCCCAGGGACAGGACAAGGACCAATGGCCACAAACCAAACCACAAGAAGTTCCAGTTTAACAGGAAGAACTGCTTTGCTCTGAGGGTAGCAGAGCACTGGAACAGCTGCCCAGGGTGGTCGTGGAGCCTCCCTCTCTGGAGATATTCCAAACCCACCTGCATGTGTTCCTGTGTCACCTGCTCCAGGTGACCCTGCCTTGATGGGCGATCTCCAGAGGTCCCTTCCAATCCTAATGATTCTATGCTATATGCAGAAACACATAGCTACATATAGATGTAAATGACAGATATATACAGAGATAAATAGAAATATATAGCTGTCTGCCCCATCTACAGATAGAGGTATATTTAATATATATATGCTCTCTACATTAAATATATATATAACCTTATATATAAAAAATTCTCTCTATATATATGTATACAATATGTATATATATGTATAATGGGAAGTTATATATTTATAGGGGGCTGTAATGTATACATATATGTATATGGAGATACACACACACATATATATATATATACACACACACATATATACACATATATACATGTGTATATATATATGTATGTATATGTATATGTATATGTATATGTATATGTATATGTATATGTATATGTATATATAACCAAGTGGTTTCCTGAAAAGAGTTTGTAGCCAGGAGAGGGTTGACCTCTTTGTAGTCTTAAGCCACACTAGCACCAGGGGAGGTTCATGTAGGACTTCTGGAAGTTTCTTCACAGAAGGGGTGACTGGACAGTGGAGTCGCTGTCCCTGGAAGTGTTTAAGGAAAGACTGGACGTGCCCTGGTCTCGTTGACACGATGGCGTTTAGTCAAAGGTTGGACTCGATGATCTCAGAGGTCTTTTCCAAACTAATTGAATCTGCGATTCTGTGATACACGTGTATATATATGACTACATACATACACACATTATATATATATATGTGTGTGTGTGCGTATGCATGTATGTGTATATATATATATGTGTGTGTATATATGTATGTATGTGTATATACATGTATGCATGTATATATATGTGTGTATATATATATGTGTGTGTATATATATGTATGCATGTGTATATATTTATGTGTGTGTATATATATGTATGCATGTGTATATATTTATGTGTGTGTATATATGTGTATATATGTATATGCATGTATAGAAGCATGCACTTCTCCAATAAATAATTATACGGCGGTGGCTGGCCCTATGGAGCAATTCCCATACGCCCACCCACAGTACCTATTTCTACCCCTCCTCTCGAAGCTCCTCTTCCCGGTCTCCTCCTCCTCCTCCTCCTCTTCCCTCCCTCCCCGCCCCAGCGCGGCCGGGCACACCGACGGCGAGGGGCGTTGTGTCCTTGCGCGGCCGCCGTAGCGCCCGCCGGGGCAGGGTGGCGGTCGCCATAGCGACACGGCCTAGGCTGGGGGCGGCCTCGCTCGGTGCCGGCGGGCGGGGCGCTGGCGAGGGACATCTGGGGCCGGCGGGGATGAGCCATGGCCTCCGTGAAGGTGGCCGTGCGAGTGCGGCCAATGAACCGCAGGTGAGTGTGGGGCCGCCCCGGCCTTCTTCGCTCCGGAGCCGGTGTCGCTGGAGGGGTGCGGGCACAGCGTGTCCCGGCTCCGCCGGCGGTGACAGCGGGGGCGGAGCTCTGCCGGAACTCAGGGGCTCCCTGCGCTCGGCTGAGCCGCTCTGCCCAGCAGGAGCGACTGCTGGCAGCTCTTCTCCTCCCCGGGAGCTCGGGAGGTGGCTCCCGGTGGAGCGGAGAGGAGCGGCTCCTTGCCTGGGAAGTTCAGTGTCGGGGTCTGAAGCGTTGCTCTGGTCCTTGTGTAATGACGGGAAAGTTACTCTGCTGAAAGCAGAAAACTCCGAGAGGAGGGACCTGCCAAGGATGTGTAGTCAGGCTTCTAAAATGTGAAAGGAACCTACTTTATCTGGAATCAGCAGCCTTTTCTACCTGCTTGAGAGAGAGAAATTGTTGTCTAGTTCATTTGGAGCCGTCATGGTTAAAGGTTATCAGTTTATGCTCAAAATATGAATATCTCTATATATCTATATATATTTTATATTTATATCTATATCTATCTATCTATCTATACATAAACCAGGCAGTCTGCTGCATTTACTGTATGGACAGGAGTTCATCACTCACTTCCTGAGATGTATCTGGGAAATAAACACCGTTTTCTTTCATGAAATATGTGCATAATATGCACGACAGAGTTAATGGTCTCATTTAGGAACCATATGTGGAAAACTACCTGATTCTACTGCCAGTGCTCTTCCTCTTCCCTTGTCCTGAAGTCGTGTAGCCACTTCAAAAGAAAAGTGTTTTAAAGCCCAGGCAGGCTGTTCCTCTCACTTGATCTGATTCAGGTGTTTAAAACACACAATTTGTCACATTCTGAAAGCTGCTCAATGTCCTGTTGTTGTTTTCAGCGAGGGAAAGACAAATCTTACGAGAGAAGAGCTGATGAAGGTAGGAAGGGGAAAATATTGCAGGTTGGTTTTGAATAGTTCAGGTGGATGGAGCTGAGTGGTTGGAGGTCTGGGTTGGTGAGTAATCTTGTCACATCCTTTTGCTTCCCCCTGCCCTCTCCCTTGGGTCTAACCATGTGGTTCTTAAAAATTTTAAAAATTATTCTGTATATACACTCCACTTTTCCTTCAAGGATCTCTGACAACAGTTAGCGTAGGTCTTCAGGGTATTAATAAGACTTGTTATGTGCAACGTTTTGGTAGCGTGGAGAAGTTTTGCAGGAGGAGTGTGCCTGTGATCTGCTAAGAGAAAAAAAGAGACACAGGAATGGAAAGCACATGGGAGAAGGGAGGGATGGTAATTGTGCTAGGCAGTGGAAACACAGACCTGTGAGTGTGAGTTTGCAAGTGTTGTGGTAAAGGAATATCAGACAAAGACTCTGGACGTGGTGACTCTGTGGCATGTGGGAGGATAACTTGGATGGGACTGGATCTGAGCATCCCAAGAAACTGATGAAAATGGTTTGTGGTACAATGGAAAAGGGCAAACCTAAGAGCAGGGCAGACAGAGGCTGGGTGTGGTGCAGGGGGCAAGCTGAGAAAATGGTTTTTGTCACAGCTGTGTGGCAGCAGGCAGGCTTACTCTGCAAACTGGTGTCTGACCATGCAGACTGTAAAGAACCTACAGTTTAAGTTGCTAAAACCTTGGAGTTTATGGGATGCTGTTAAGTGTTTATGGAACATTATAAGGAAGCTGGATTTAGTGCCCTGGGATGTTGCTTTTAAGTATTGATTTTTTTAGAGATTTTAGTGTTTTTATAGATTTTTTTTTTTTTACAGTTGGTGTTTGGTGTGGGACCCAGCACTGGAGTCACTGGTGTTCCTCTCCATCAGTCACTGCTGGACTCATGCTGTGTTTTGTAAAACCCTAACCCTAAGCCTGGGAGGATCCAATAGCTTTTCTTGTTGCAATAGGAAAGGCATGCTGAACTGTAAGCCAGGAGCAGTAATCATATTTTTCTTAGTGGCTTCTCAGAATTGTTACAGTTGGAAGTGGCCCCTGGAGATCATCTAGTTCAGCCCCCCTGCCAAGGCAGGGGCACCTTGGCAAGTGTTCCCTTGCTTAGGTCTGCTCTCAGCTGTGCTCCCTTTGCCTTTTTGGGTCCCTGGGGAATTTTACAGAGGAAAGGCCTTTCCACCTATCCAAAGGAACTTTACAACCAGGTGTTCCTTCTCCAGCACAAAATTTAAAAATCCTTACCATGATACTGTATGGAGTTAAGTTAGTTAAATTTGCTTTGGTTTGTTTGAAGTTTAATAATACATTGCAGCTTATTTCATGAGTCATTTTTAATTAGAGAAGACACAGTTGATGAATGGTTATAGGAAGAGTCCTGCATTATGGAGCAGTTGCACCGTGTGGTGTCACAGCACTGCTAATTGTGTACTAAGTCATGAACAAGGATTTTGGAATGAAACGTGATGGGGAGAGGGTTGTTTAAGGATTATTTACTGTTCTATTGCTTAGCTAACAAACCTTTTTGCTTTCTTCTTCTGTGACTTATTTTTAGTCTTCATTTTCTCTGACTTGATCTGTCAAGTCCTTAACCATTCTTCTTGGAGTAACATCCCCAATTGTGTTACACAGATATTATACTGAAACATTTTGATTCTATCTCTGCATAATCTAATGAAAGTATAACTAAAGGCTTTAGAGTTGCTGCTTTGAAACCAGTTGTAGCATGAGCTTAGAAAGTTCAGTTACTTGGTGAGTCTCCATCTGTCATTTGGTTTCCCTCATTCAACACTGAATTTCCATGACAGCCCTGAAGTCTGTGCTTATAGCTGAAAGTTTCTGTAAAGGCAGCAAAGAAACCTGCCAGCTGGCTGAAGCCTTGGTTTTTGTCACTGGATAGAAGGGGAGTGAGCTTGGGTGTTTGGTATATTCTGCTTTGGCAAGGTAATGGATTTGGACACCATCACTTCTAAGATTCATTTTCCAACACAGTCACTAGAAACATTCATAAGATGGGATTGTTGAGAAGTGTAATTATATTTGAGGCACTCTTTGCTCACATACTGAACAGATGACTTTGGGTGACTGGTTACTAGTCACTGTCTTCTGCATAGTGTGATATCTGGGATCCTGATAAGCCTCACCTAATTCTGGCTCTCTATTTTTTATTATTCACAGCATCTGCACAGTTCAAATAAATGCACTGCTTTATTTTCATCTGAATCTTTAAAGAAGAAAGAGAGAGTAGTATTTTCTTGCTTCCATTTTGTGTCATGTTTCTTCTTTATGTAAACTAGAATTCAATTAGTGTTCCAGGAAGCCACTGTTATACTTTTGTCAGTGTCTTGGTTTGAGACAATTTAAAGAAGAACATGCTGGGATGAGTTATCTCTTTATAATTCCAATAATCCCTTTCCACCAATAAGAAATGCATACTTATAGAGGAAAATTTAAAAAACCACGGTTTATTAACAAACAGGTTGCCAACAGATAGGAAAAAAGTAAACAACTGCTGGATATCAAACTGCTGGACCTCAGCACCCCAATGGAACAGAGAGACAGGAAAGGCAGGAATTGAGCAAAAATCGAACGGCAGGTGAAGCAAACACCACGCCGTGCAGAGCCACGACATGGACGTGGGCAGGCAGCTTTTGAAAAACGCCTGCTCCAAAAGCCAACTTCCTAACACCCCCATCCCACCAAGATTCCCGGCTGCGGGGTCCTAAAGATCCAAGAACAGATAGTTACGGGATACATTATCATTATGAATCACCCCAAGACAATTAGTTAAATAAAACCATCTAAAATATGCCAGATAAGAAAAACTGTTTTGATGCTTAGTAAAGGATATATCAACTTGACTCTTCTAAATACTGCCACTAAATTCTTGTGGCTCTCAATTTCTTACACCTGATAGCTCTGTTATGTTTGGCTTTTAATTCTTCAAGTAATAGAGGGATGCAAGCTTTTTTCAGATTTTTTAACCCTTTCCCTCTGTTTCTTGTATTTGCATAAACGAATTATTGTGTTTAACTGGTTGAACAAACTAAATGAGGGTCATGTGCTGTCCTTACCTGCAAAGATGCAGCTGACATCAGAAGATGGGTCTGCACTGCAATAAATTTTTCTCTGTGCTTACCCAGTGCTCTCAGATTTTTTAGGTGTTCATTTAAATGAGTTGCCTAGACTTTTTTACGGCTCTCTTACTGCCAGTATAATGAAATAGAAATTCTAATTTGATTGCATGTTTAAATGATCAGTTTTTTTTTCTCCTGCACGTACACACGCCTTGGATTTGCTCTCCAAACAGAAGTGACCAATGGCAGAAGCACCCGTCAGACACCGTAGCGCTCTATGTGGTTATGCAGCCATTCACAGCTATGGCATGAAGATTAAAAGCTTTTCTATTTGGTAGTGGGGAGACAGAGGAAGTATATTCTATTGCATAGGGACAGCTTTTGAGTGACTCTGGGATTTGTTTGGGTTAAGATCTGATACTTTAATCCAAAAATACAGTCTGTGTGATTATTCACTAGGTGTAAGGTTGGCCCTCTTGGGTAACTTCTGGGTTACACCTGTAAGTCTAAGCAACTCCTCTGGAGGCAGAGTGCCTTGGGAAATCTGTGACCAGTATCTTATCTATCAAACTAACTGCTTGCACAATCCAGGCTGTAGTATCAATAGCAGAGTGTTCAATGGTTCAAGTTAATAGAGCAATGCAAAAGACAGAGATATACAAAAAAGCTGGTTTGTTTTACAAGGAACTTGTGACTGGAGTGTTTTTGTAGAAGGAAAAAGAAATAAACAGGTGTACAGTGAAGAGCCAGCTGAATTCTTTATTTCCATTCTAAATATTTACAAGTAGTTTAGGTAGGAACTTACTGGGAGTATGAAATTTATAATTAAATATCCATGCTTTTTAGAATTGAGAAGAGAAGCAAAAAACATGCATGGAAAATGCATTATAAGATTTTCAGTGCAGGGAAGAGGGAATGAATTGGTGTCTCATAAATGACAAGTTTTTAAGTATGAGTTACTGTATATTTTTC